GTTTGATGGTGTTAAAGGTTTCATCACAGGATGTAAGCTGTTCTAAGTAAAGCTGGTTTTTGCAATTGACTGATGGTGATTTTGTCAGAGTCAGTAGTGTTCAAATGATGCTCCCGATGTTTTGGGATTGCACACAAGGCGTCTATTATTATTGGTATTATCTTTGCTTTCTTTTGCCATAGTCATTCTACTTCTGTTTGTAGGTCTTTATGTATTGTGATTTTTTTCCAGTTCTTTCACTTCTATTCTGCTGTCTCCAGTTATTGCAATGTCCACTATCCAGCCTTTTTTTCTTTCTTTCTTAACGATAATTCTTACGTCTGGGATGTTGTGTGGCAGATGCTTGTCTATTTGAATTCTAAAGTTCCAGAACACTTTAGCTTTTCCATTTTCTATTATTTTCTTTGTTTGGTGATTCCCCCCAGGTCTTGCTTGAAAACAAGTGGTATTTCTTGCCAATGTTCCAATACACCATTATTGCTACTTTGTCATGCTGTTGTTTATAATCAGTTGTGCGATCTACTTATTAGGTGGTTCAGTGATTCTTCAGTTTCTTTGCAGAGGCGGCATTTACTTTCTGATGATTCAATTCTGGCTTTGTATGCATTTGTTCTTAAGGCTTGGTCTTGTGCTGCCAGAATTAGCCTCTCTGTCTCTTTCTTCATCATTCCTTTTCTTAGCCATTGCCAGGTCTTATTATCTATTTTGCCTGTTAGTATTTTTAGGTACTGACCATGTAATACTTTGCCTTCCCATATCTCTTTTCTTCATTTGCTCTTTCTTACAGGCCAGTTTAGTTTCTTTGGTATTCAATAAGTCTTCATGGTATACTAGCTTCAGTGCATCTTTACTGTCCTTCAGACATTCTTCCAGTACCCTTTTTTCTTCTTCAACTGTCTGGTGTACTTGCAACATTCCATAGCCATATATGCTCCTTGGTCAATAGAGTTTGTCAACATCACTGCATGGTTGAAGGGCATGATTCATTGTCATTATTTTTCTGATTGATTGATTGGTTGATTGATTGATTTTGTTTGCTGCCCATCTTGCCTCTAGTTCAGACTAACACTTGTCCACTGTTCCAGCTGCATATCTAATAACTGGAATTGCCCAGATATTAATCTCCTTGATGGTATTTTTACCACTGAGTTTGGACTTTTTAGTTCTTCATCACTCTTCTAATGTATTCGCTACTAATCATCTTCTTGACTTTGGTGTGCTTGATCTTTTCAGCTTGATGGATTCCCAGGTATTTTTTACTGATATTCATCCACTCTTGATGTTATTTCCATAGGACATATTGATTCATTCAGTTTTCACTGTTTTTTCCCTGTTGAAGGTAAGGATGGCACATTTGCTTGGTTCACACTCCATCACAGTCTCTTGGCTGTATATTCAGACAATGTTGAGCAACGGTTCCATTTCAGATGGTGTTTTTCCATATAGCTGCAGATTGTTCATGTAAAGGAGGTAGGATAGCCTGGCAGATGTTTTTCATGTTTGATAGACAGAACAATCAGTGACAAACTTGATAGTGAGTCTCCTTGAAAGATTCCTTTCATGATATTAACTTCTCCCAGTCTATCACCACTGAACAGCAACTGTCTCTTCCATTGTGCCCCAAAGATGCTTTTTCACGAGGCAACTGGACTTTCTTGTTTTTCTTTGAAGACATTTTGCTTCTCAGCCAAGAAGCTTCTTCAGCTCTGAAAGTCTAGTTGCCTCGTGAAAAAGCATCTTTGGGACAATTATGGCCTGGATGACTGAGAATCTCCATAGACTTCCATTGTGCCATTGATCTTTGCACAATGTTTCTGATGTTTCTACTGGGTCCTGTTATTTCTAGGCATGTCTGCCTGTCTGTCAAACTTTCACATTTCTGTACCTCCCATTTCCCTCCATTCATGTGGCAGGGAGTTGAATGCCTTCTTGTAATCTATCCAAGCTACATTCAAATTGGTCTTCCTTCTCTTAAAGTTTTCTAAAATCATCTTGTCAATTAGAAGCTGATCTGCTTGAGTAGTTTTCTTTCTGCTGTGATCTCTAAGATCTAATCAGGCCAAGCTACTGTGATTAAGGATAAAGAGAACCTCTATGCCAGACATGTCAAACACAAGGCCCAGGGGCCGGATATGGCCCGCGAAGTGGTTTCATGTCGCCCGTGAAGCCATCCTGGAAACAGTGAGGGAACGGCCCCCGCTGCCTTGGCCCTGGGCCAGGCCAGCCGGGAGCCAATGTACAATTTTATGGTGGCCATCTTGGCACTTGCCCTGGTGGACCATGCCTTGGCACTTGCCCCGGTCCCACCCCCTTCTGCCAGAGACCCTCAGATCTGTCCCACTCCTGCCCAGGCCCCCATAGGCATCCTTGATGCGAATGATGTAGAACTGGCCACGCCCACCCAGCAGGCCACACCCACTCCATCCACACCCATCCAGTAGGCTGCACCCACTCTGGCCACACCCACCCGTCCCCCCCCAGGGCAACCGCAATACTGATGCGGCCCTCAGTGAAATTGAGTTTGACACCCCTGCTCTACGCTTTACAACACTAAGAGTTGTCTTCATTTCAGTTCTTTATCACCTAGAATATTTTTACATTCTGAATCTGAATTAACTCAAATCTTTTGTGGGGATAGAAGTAGGAATCAAAATTTGGAAGATTATGCGGTAAGGAAATAAATGTTACATAATCTATTCTTGATTCATTCAGTTGAATTAAAACAGGCAGGTTAATTCAGTTGTTTTAAAATTTAGTGTAATTTTTGTATGCTATTTTTTTTCTGATTAAAAATACAATGAAGCTGTTACTTAGAGCAGGGGTCCTCAACCTTGGCAACTTTAAGACTTGTGGACTTCAACTCTCAGAATTAACCAGCCAGCAAAGCTGGCTGAGGAATTCTGGGAGTTCATGTCCACAAGTCTTAAAGTTGCCAAGGTTGGAGACCCCTGACTTAGCGATACCAAGAGAAAGAATTCTGATAGGCTGCACAATCCCTTTTTTATTTCAGAATAAATCCAACACCCCAAGTGAGAGCAATCTTGCCCTGCTCTGTAGTGGTTGGACATCTGACCTGGCTACTTGGAATCAGCGACAAGATGACAACATCCTCACTGAGAAGACGCTTCCTCAGTCACCAAGGAAACATGTTCTTTCTAGCAGTTACAGAGAATCTGCTTTTGTGCTAAATAAAGAAAACCCTAAACTTACCTCCAGCGCTGATGACATGACCTTGCCTAATAATCCTCCAAGATCTCCAAATTCACACCAAGAAACTATGCCGGGTCATTCTCCGCAAACTTTGCAACTGAAGAGTAAGTGGAATGAAACACTAAGCAGGACCTCGGCAGAGGAGAAGTCACCAAGCTTGAGTCCAAACCCATCTTTCCTCGTTCCATGGGAGAGGGAAAGCCAAGATGGGAATGAAATTCTTGAAGAGGGCGGGCTTCTTCAAGAAGTGGTGTCATTATGTAAACTGACTTCTGCTTTGAACCAAGGCTTAAACATTTCAGGGGACAGCTTTTCCAACAGCAGTGGGAATAAAACGTAAGGAATATTTATTTATTGAGGGATTATAAACCTGGTAAATGACTAAAGGAAAACAACTCAGGATATCATAACAAAGGAAATAAGAGATCTTCAGGTTTTTTAATCTTTAATTTTAGTTGGCCTTATTTTTTGTGTTTTTACCCTTTTATTTTGAGGCTGTCTCCTTTGAATCTATTTGCTCCACTTCAGTTCACAATATAAGCTTGCATTGGGATGGAGCTGTATAAGAGAACCAGTTTGGTCTAGTGCAGGGGTAGGCAACCTTGGCTCTTTTATGGCTCGTGGACTTCAACTCCCAGAATTCCTGAGCCAGCCATGGCTGGCTCAGGAATTCTGGGAGTTGAAGTCCACGAGCCACAAAAAAGAGCCAAGGTTGCCTACCTCTGGTCTAGTGGTTAAGGCACCAGACTAGAAACCAGGAAACTGAGTTACTAGTCCCACCTTAGCCATGAAAGCCAGCTGGGGGACTTCGGATCAGTCAATCTCTCTCTCAGTCCAACCCACCTCACAAGGTTGTTGTTGTGGGGCAGTAGAAGGAGGAAGGAATATTAGGTATGTTCACCGCCTTGACTTATTTATAAAGGCAGGATAAGAAATAATTCTAAAAATCAAATGTGTTTACAGCACATGTTTCGCATGCAGTCAGTTACAGTTTCACCCTGGACATTTCCAGTTGCATTTCCAGTTGCCACGTATAAAAACCTGTAAGTCACTGCCAGTCTGAATATGCAATACTGAGTTCAGATAACATCTTAACTAAAGCATTCTAGAATCATGGTACTAGCTTAATTTCACATTTAAGCCACAGCTGGTCTGGGGCATGAAAGGTTTTTTTTTGATAATTTCCTTTCCCTATATGCAAAAAGAAATGTATCGGACAGATACATGTATCCTTCTATAACAAAAACATGTAGCATGACTATTCTGGAAGTTAATGCACGATCTGAAGGCCTTAAACTTAGAAGGGCAGATTTAAATAGTTTAAAGGCTGAACTGTAAATATTTGGAAAAAGAGCCACCATTATTTCATAGCAGCAAACGTGCTTGAGTAAAGAGAAATGCAGGCCATTTACCAAAC